TTTTTTGCAGAATCTGTTGTATTGTTCATTTTTTGGCATTTTCTTTAGACTAGACGAATAGAACTAATGGATTTTAAAGAATTATTACAATCTTAAACTTAGATTTGGTTCATTCATTCATCACACATGATTAGTTCAATGACTGCTAGAAACTTAAATATCTGACAATTCATTCCATTTTTGCAGTTTCTGGCTCTGATAAATTGTATAATTTTGGCTAATAAAAAAAAAAACCAACACGTTTTTTTAAACCTGCCGGCAGCTTTTAGGGTTTTGAGGGTTGATATGTTGAAGGAGGTTGGGATGCATGAACTCTTGTACCGGTTTAGTTTGCACTTCACGTCCTGAACCTTCTGTCTGATGGCAACAACTGCACCATCTAGAATCTTACGTTCACAGATTTTATATATAAAGACTGATGCTCTTTTTTTGCCCGTGATCTTCATGGCCATTTAGACAAGACGTATGAGCTTCGACCTTAACCTTACTGTCAGGTTTGATAAAACGACAACATAAGTTCACCACTTACACCGCAGAGTCTAAGCTTTCATAGACAGTACATTGTCTGTTGTAGCCTAGAGCAAAGCCTTTCAACAAATGATTAATTGACCGTTGTCTCTGTGCTTTCTGTAAGGATGCAGAGCGGTTCAGTTTCTCCTCCGGGTTTGAGGAGGGCAGAGACAGATGTCCGTATGACCCCGCAAAGGGATACACTGGCCTCCTCGTAGGTATGTATCCCAGAAATCTTTTAATTTATTGTATAAAGCCTGCAGTACACTGGTGGAGTCAAAGCAGTACACAGACATGGGTAGATAAGATAAAGCCTTCTTGTCCAGATATTGCTCAGAAAAATTACAATAAAGTGAGAATAACCCGAGAATAATAAATATAAAGTGTATGAGAAGTTAAAGCTTACAGCAGTGACTAACAAAATAGCAATAAGTGAGGTACATTTAGTGAAAACAATAATAATACTCAATGATGCGGAAGCAAATCTTTATAGTAAAAAGCAGCAAAGACTCCTGAACATCAGACTGAAGAGGCAGCTGGATGGTTGACATGATAAAGGCCACAATATTGATTATATCACGCTGATGTCATGGTCAAGCCAATCACGCACGAAAAAGAAAAATGTGCAAAAACTTTGAATAAGACGCTCAAAATGCATTGTCAAACAAGATGCTGAGTTCAGAGGCAGGCGAGCAGCGCTGCAAGGATATAATTAGGCACAGCAGTGCTTTGAACAAATGCTAACGTCATCACTATGTGTCTGTGAAGATTCATCATGCAGATCATGGTTTATCCAGGAGGGCAAAGGAAACTGGACGTGCTTTAGATGCTTTAGATGCTATAGCATGCTCACAGTCACAACTAGATGCTGAAGTCTGAAACTACTGCAGCTTAGGTGGAACTTTGAATGTATTCCTGCACTCACAGGCTTAGCTTTCTAGGGGGATGCAGAGGATACAGCCTCATTAATATTTAGAAAATGTACATTTGCCACGTCAATCAAGACCTGAAATTAGCAAAGGACTTTTTAAAATTCACTCGTTGTACATGAATCTTGGGTTTTCATTAACATAATTAGAGACATTTCCAACATATATTAGGAAAAAGGCACAAATCGGTGCACAAAATATGACCAGAATGCAGGTAAATAAGTGTGTGGTGCTGACGCCCATGTCTTTGTCCTGCTTGACAACCAACGTGCACAAGAGGAATGATTACAGCAATCAATAACTGTTTAAGCATACATGCAGGCTGTTGTATAAAGACACACTCAAATAAATTATGCAGCATATGCAATACAGAAAATTAAGACTCAGGAGAGACACTCAGAACAGTCTCCTGATTCAACAGCTTACCAGGCTGTGATGTTCGTCTAATTATCGTTACAAATATTCCCACCGCATTGAGTGATGGGTCACAGTTTGCCTTCTTACTCTGCAGTATTCCAACTGCTTTCATTTACATCTGATTAAACTCTGATGTCTTAACACATTTCTCTCTTAATGCATCCTCTTCCAACACATTTGTGTAATCTGTTAATCAGACGGCGAGATGTTCACGGCCTCTCAGTACGAGTTTCGCAGCTCGGCAGACGTGCGCAGAAACTTCCCCTTCCCTACGCTCAGGACAGAGGAGGCGCCCACCCGGTGGCTTCTGGGTAAATAAACAATAATCCACAAATTGCTTTTCAACTTTAAATCATGGTCAATTTAATGTGGCTTTATTTTTTGACAAGAATTCACAAAAAAATAAATAAATAGTTTCATGTCAAAGTGAAAACAAGTTCCTACAAGGTAATGTCGTTTAATTAAAACTGTAAAATAAGTGTTTGCATAAGTATTCACCCCCTTTAAATGACTCACCTATTTAACACAGAAATTGGTGCTAGAATTTAGAATAATTAGTGAAATGGAGATGATCTGAGTGGTTATAGTATAACGACACTGTATCTGGAACATTGGGTCACTGTTGAATCAGTACTCTTGTCTATAACTACACAGTGAAGGCAAAAAAAAAACTCCAACTAACTCTGTAAAAAGGTTAATGGAAGCATGAGGGGGGGATGGATACAAGAAAATTTCCAAGTCACTGAATATCCCCTGGAGAACAGTTAAATCCATCATTAAGACATGGAAGGAATATGGCACAGAGCAAGAGAGCTGAATTAGACTGAATCTGTGCAAGAAAGAGACGAGTGAGTGACCAAGACACCTATGACTCCTCTGAAGGAGTTAGGAGTTAGTATTTACCACCATACTTCAAGGTGGGGATGGTGTGCTTGTGATGATGTGCAGTGTTTGGTGTCTGCCAAGCATGGCATCTAGTTTAATGGGAGAAAAGCTCAATTTCAGACCAAAGAACTTTCTTTCAGTCAACTTCAGTCTCTCACATGACTTCTGGTTAACTCTAGTCCAGATTTAATATGAGCTTTTTTCAACAGTAGGTTCTCTCTTTGTCACTCTACCATGAAGCTTTGACGAGTGAAGAACAGTCGTTGTATGAACAGTTTCTCCAGTCTCAGTTTCTGAAGCTTGTAACTCCTTTGGAGGTGTCTTGGTGACCTCCCTCACTTGTCTCTTTACTGTATGGTCACACAGTTTTCTGTTACCGATGTATTTTAACTGTACTGGAAGTCATATTTAGTGACTTGGAAATTTTGCGTATCCATCCCCTGACTTATGCTTTTCAGTAACCTTTTCATAAAGTTTCTTTGAGGGTTCTTTTGTCTGCATGATGTAGTTATATCTAGGAGTACTGATTCACCAGTGACTGGACCTTCCACATACAAGAGTCTTTATAATGCAATCACTTGAGACGCATTCACTGCACTTCTATCATTTTCATTTGAATACTGTGAAATCTAGCAACAACTGGCTGAACCTGTGCTTAAATTTATTTGACATTTTATATATTTTTAAAGAACTGACATTAATTTGTAGAAATCTGTTGTCACTTTGACATGAAAGAGTCTTTTGTTTTGGGAAATTCTTGTCAAAAAAGCCAAATTGAATTGACCAAGATTCAATGTTAAAAATAAATAAAAGAGGAAACCTTACTAGCTTATTGTTTATAAGTACTGTAGCTGCATTTTTATACAGTATTGTTTCCACTTACAGTAAACTACTTAATAGATCAAACCTCATTGCCATTTTGCCCATTTCTTATCTTGTTAGATGATTTGTTGTTACAACAAAAACTCAATCATTTTGAGATTAAAAATCAAAAAATTGCACTGCAGCTCTAACAGGCTTGGTTGTGTTGATTCAATCATACTTAAAAGCTCCGTCTTTAGTTTCCAAGGAGACACTTCCTCGGCTGCTAATAGGTCTGTGTTTGGACATCTGTGTGTGTGTGTGTGTGTGTGTGTGCGTTTGTGTGTGCAGAGGCAGATTTCGTGGGCTCAGTGCTGCTGAAGGAGAGCATCAACAGCTCTATCGGCGACGACGACAAGATTTACTTCTTCTTCACTGAGAGAAGCCAGGAGCAGATTGCCTACCCGAGCCAGACCAAGGTGTCCAGGGTTGCCCGAGTCTGCAAGGTCAGAGAGAGCAACTAACAGAACCGCTAGTAACTGTAGTCACACGAAGGGCTCGGAAAGTTAATTCTGCAAAAACAACAGCTCCACAGCGGCTGCAAGGTCGCGTTAAAGAAAGGGTTGAAAAGACGGCGGATGAAAAGTTGCCAGTCATTCGAAGTGCAATAATAGTGGGATTATTTAATGTGTTATGTCAGAGTGAAATGTACATGGATTTAGGGTGGACTTTTTGTTCTCGACTTCTCTCTGAGCTGCCACTCTCCTCTTACGGTAATTTCAGTGCTGAATGAAGCAGCAGTTCTCTAATCACGGCTTCTTCACTCACGCTGAATTCTTTCTGTTGCCACTGTTGCCAGGCAAACTAAAAGTCCACAAACCTCCACCTCCAATGGCAAACCCTCTCTCTCACTTTATTGCCATATCGCCCTCTTCCACTCCTCCTCCACCTCCTCCTTATCCTCCTCCTCCTCCTTGTCTTTCTTCCTCTCACCTCATTTCACTTGCGATCAGCATCCGTGGTCTAGACAGCATGCCCAGCAACCATTGCTAGAAATCTCTATGTCTCTCTTTCTTCCTTCCTTTCTTTTATTTTAGCCTTGCGAAGTGACGAAATTACCTCCACAGTGTGCTGTTGTATTTAAATTGTTAGTTGCAGGGGTCAAAAAAGTGACTCAAAGACTCAGCTGGTGCAGTGATGCAGTTGTATTTCACCTTGTGCGAGCCTGTGAAAAGGATTTCTGTGAATGTGTGAGAGAAAATAGGAATTAGCATAAAACCTATTGAGCAGCCTCTTTGAAATCCAGTTTTCACATCCAAACAGAATGAGCTGAACCGTACAAAACACTCTATGTGGCGGTAACAATGTACTCTTAGCGTAATAACACCAAAACCTTCCATAGATGTATTACTCCTTATTACTTCACAGTCTCTTTGGAGACGTTCTGGCTCCATCCATCCATTAAAAGGTGGCTTTTTGACATTCAGGCATGGGTGTAGATTTGCAAGAATCTTCATTATGCTTTTATTCAGGCATGACAGGACATTTTGCGAAAAAAGCCTCGCTGATATTCGGCACTTCAGCGAAGGGGGAGCAGTGTCGCTGCTGGAGAACAGCAGTCAATCAAAGACGGTGAAAAGTAATACCAAGAGCGTTTTCTGTTCCTTCACAGGCTGCATCAGGGAAGGACTTTAAAATGTATTCTGCCATCCCGGCACTAATTAATGCTTCTCCCAGTGAGTCCAGTACAGTTTCATCATTTATTTGGTGAAAAATTCTGCTGCCTGTTTTATAAACTGTACACAAGTGTTGAATGACAGGACGTCAAGTTGGGATTCTTGTTTAATTCCAATCTGCTCACATGCTGCGAGTTTTGCTGGTGGATGTTCATTTATTCATCCGTGCAGTTGGCATGAATAAAAATCTGAAACATCTAGGGGTAGCTCGATTACTTTTCTGATTGCAGAAAGCATTTTTCTTGTTTACTTCTACAGCCGTGAGTGCAGCGTGAAGGAAATATGCATCGGCATATCTGTCACAGGAGGAAGCACTTAAAATGTACTAATTCTTAGTGTTTCATGGTTTATTAAACTGATTGAATGACTTCACTTTGGGCTGCTGCAGCCTGGATGTTCAATTCATAGTCATCCCATGTTGGCTTTACAGAAAAGTTCAAATATCACAATTAATATCATGTGCAATCTTAGAGAAAATCAGGTCTTTTGCCTTTTTAACATGTATGCTGTTTTTCTATGCTGAAAAACACATCATGAGCAAAATAAGCAGTCAATCGCATTCAAGTGTATATCCACCTTGAAACTGCAGTGTACCAATGACAGTCTCAAAAAAACAGATTCAAAGCTACTGTTCTGGTCTGTGGTTTTGTAGATTTATTTCCGGTTTTATTTTGACATCCCCTTTCCTTGTGTTTTTACTTCCTCCCGTTGTCCCTCCTTTCATGATGCCTTTGTGAATTTGTCTGTGTTTGCATGCTTCACATTTACCTCCCTCTTACCTGTCTAGTTCCCCTTCTGTTCTTCATCTGATTCTGTTTTGTACTTTTAGTTTTTTACATCCCATATTGTGGTTCTCTACCTGGTTTTCCCTCCAACTTTGTCATGTCTTTGGATTAAGTTGGATTTGTTTTCTTTTTCTTATGTACTTACTATCCTTAGATCATCAGCTGTCTTTTATTTATTTTGCTGATTACCCTCCCAGTAAATTTCTTCATTAAAGTTCTTTTTTTTCCTTGGGTTCTGTTCCTGATAACCCTGCACGTCTGGGTTTTCATGCGTAACAAACCTTAGGACCCTGTGCCGTCAAATTTTGCAGGGTGAGGTTTTCCGTATGATTGTTCTTGGTAGTTTTAGTAGGAGTAGTAATTGGTTTCCACTTTGAACATGTATGGCTGATTTACTCCAATATTACAACTTGGCATTGTGTAGTGTAGGGTACTTTTGCAGTGTTTGAGCAGAGTGGTAGGCGAGCTGGTGTGCTTGAACTGCAGTGAAAGGAAAGGTGGTTGGATGTATGGATTATGCTGATCTGGATGGTCGAGAGCAGTGGTTCTCATATGTTTTCTCTCAGGCCCCCCTTTGGAGGACAAAAATCTTTCGGGCCCCCCCCTCACCTTAAATAGTCATGAAAGGAACCAGTTTAAATTTACTGAAATTAAATATCATAAGCAGTCAATAGTGCAGCAGCAACTTGCTCAGTGATCAGTAAAGGTAACAGGGGGGATAGCCTTCAATTTTGCAGTGGTAGTCTCATCAGTCATTGTGACACCATATCAAGAGCAGTGGGGAGTAGAAGATCCTCAGCTTTTGTATGTGGTTTCTTGCACTTGGCGATTCTGTTCCAGGGCTCCAGACCAACTTTTCCAATGGTAGCACTGGTGCAACCAACTTTCTTTGTTGGTTGCACCAGCTAATGATTTGGTCGTCCCACTCCCTTCTTTTGGATCAGCATTCCCACAGCTTTTAATGCACCATGCATGCTGATGAATAGTTGTTTTTGCATTACTTAGTTATGTTGCAATGATTTTCAGTGATACAAGACTAGATATTTGTAAAATGTTCTAACCTTAAATTATATTTATTTTGTCACCAGTCCTCTTCTGATATCAGTCATTAACTGGACACAGGCTAAACAATTGCTGAAAATGCCCATGCTACATTTTACTGATGTTCCATGAACAATACCTGTTGATGCTACCAGGTGTTTGCAGTGCAGCTCCTCTGACAGGTGAGCGACCAAACATTAGTTGGAAAACAGTGGAAAATGCGTTCTACACTAATTTGCCCAAATTGAAACGTTTTCTATTAGCAGCGTTTTTAGCAGAATTTTTTGTTTTTCTTTTCTTTTTTCTTCCTCAGTGAACGGACTTTTCCACGAACTGAGCACATTTTAAATGTCCATACTAATGGCCATCATGTTTAGAGAAAAACTGTGATCGCTGTTAAGATGTGAATCCCGGGGGGCGTCACACACTTTGACAAACTGACTGCACAGAGGATGGTTGTAATCCAGATTGTCCTGCAGGCCAGCGTCATCTTTTTCGTCACATCTTTGCTCGTCAATTGATAACAAACAGAGATTTCGTTTTAATTTTTGTTGTCAGTACTTCTTAAATTTACATTCTCGCCCCACTATTTGAGCAGGACTGGTCTAGAGGAAGCAACAGTCATCTAAGCCATTTTTTAGGTATTAAGGGATTGTTTCCATGGACAAAAACTTTTAATAATAACACTTTGATACACAGAGATGCGTTTTTAAGAGTTTAATCAATGACCAGAGAGGGGTTTTAACCTCTGCTGGCAACAATACAGGCTAAGTACAAAATTGGATGGCATTTGCCTATTCGAAATTAGCATTCGATTAAATGCACAAAGCCTCGTGAACCACTCCATGATGCCAACAATAACTTTACCACACTAACAATAGCAGCAGCAGCAGCAGCAATAGTTGTTCCCTACTTTGTGATAATCGTGCGTAAACAGAAAACAGTAGGTTCTCATCTTTTCCTAAAGAAACACACAATTGTTGAATCACTGTGTTCTGCACACTTTTTTCACTGCAAGAATTCAGTTTACAAAATGTTTTCAAGCTTCCCATCCTTTCTAGAGAAAAGGGGTTTTGGGGTTAAACACACCTTTTTCTTCTTGTGGGATTTTATATTGTCGTAGCTTCACTGGAATTATTTACGCGGCTATTCTTTTACCCTGTAATTAATTTAAGAAAGTATATCTGCAGCTACGCATAATTTTATTTTCCCTTTCATTGGGTTGTTAAGATAACAGATAAGATAAACTTTATTAATCGCTCACTGGGAAGATTTACATGTTACAGCAGCTAAATACAAAAGAGGCTTTCAAGGAGCAAAACGAGGAATACAAAAAGGCTCAAAATAAATTTGTAGTAAAGATTATGTTGCACATTTCAGCACATTAATGCACAAAAAAACGATTGTACGACTGCAGGAAGTGAGATAATCTATATGTGCTGACATTCTCTCGGTTCTGTCTGCATCCAAAAGGAAGTCATTTCTGGAAATAAGGTCTGGACTCCTCTCTTCATCAGCGAGTTGTCAGAGTGTAATAACTCAGCCTGAACTAGGCCACAGCAGCAGCACATGCAGATGTCAGGCCGGTCCCCAGCTCAGCCCTCGTGGCCGCCAGACACCGCGCTGGTTGGAGGCAGATCCGCAGATAGTGAAGGCCCTGGCAGTCGCCTCTGGCCTGAAACCACTGAAGACTTGCCATTTTTGAGCTGCCTAACCAGTCGTCCTCTTCTGTTTCGCACTTCCCAGCCAGACTGCATTTACTTCCTCGCCAATCATGACCTATTTTATCAGAGAGGGGACATCATGACATGAAAACAAGATCTTTTTTTTGCAGCGGAGAAGCAAAAATCTGTACCTCTGAGCCACTTTGGTGTTCTATATATCCTCAGCAAGGAGAGAAAGACTACAGTTTGTACAGTATCTTTGGAATCGCATGTAGGGTTAATATCCCCGCAGGCATACATTTATGGCACTACGCTTCAATTCTTCACTCTTATTCCCTTTGAATTTAACCCATGACTGCCCATGTGACCCTGACATCGCTTTGACTGACATAAATTGTAATCTCCCAATGCATCCCTTTAGCTCATTCCCCTATAACAACCTGGTATCATCTCTATAAGAAATGCATTTTGTTGTTTTCTCAGCGGCATCCATCTTAGCGATGCTTTACTAACCTTTCCGCCAACTCTCTCTCTCTCTCTCTCTCTCTTTCTCTCTCTCAAATCTCTGGAGATTTTTCTTCTGCGAAAAGAAATGAAGTCAAAAGAGTGGATGCATTTGTCTGCAGTCCTTCTGCCTCTCTCTTTGTCTTTCTTCTTCCACCAGAAAATTGAGTTAGTATTATTGATGGAAGTGTTGCTAATGTTTCAGATATGCATGTCTGATGTTGATTTGAGCTACTCTGCCTCTTTGTGTGGGAGGTCGAGCCAGGCAGAGGGCTTTGATGAACGACAGATGTCCCCCAAAGACATAAACAAAGAAGGATGAGGCACTGTGAATCAGGCAAACAAAGAGAAAAGGAGTCTCCGTCTCTTTATTTTCCTTCTCGTCTAAATGAGGTGTGCTAAATTACTCTTTTAGGGAGAGATTTCTCGCTGTTTTGCCTCCCACTGCTACCGAAATGCAATTAGAGCAAATGTGCTAAAGTAGGCCCACTCCGAGCCTCAGCACAAGCATTCGGCTCCATTTTCATGACTCCTCAATTCCTGCTCTCGTCTCTGTCATCATTCTCTTGCAAATACATGTATCTGCGTCGTTTGTGTCAGCGTTATTACGATGGCAGACTTGTCAAAGCTGATGTGTACATGCCTGTAAGAGTGGTTGGGATTGTGTAAGTTGAGCTCAGATAAGTGACTTTATCGAATCGTCCATCTATCCGTTCATCCATCAGCTGTCTGCTCTGTCTGCAGAATGACTGGGGAGGCCAGAGGACCTTGCAGAGGAAGTGGACCTCCTTCCTCAAGGCCAGAATGGTGTGTTCGGTCCCAGAATACGAGCTGCACCTCAACATCCTGCGCGACGTGTTTGTCTTGCAAGGGAAAGACGCTCAGAGCAGCATTTTTTATGGCATCTTTGGACTGGAATGGTGAGAGATGATGATGAAGATGATGATGATGATGATGATGATGTTGTTGTTGTGTCATTGAGCTTTTTCTATCTTGTTTTTTACCTTGTTAACGCGCAGTTTGTGTTTCCTCTTGAAAAAAACTGTCGATTAAAAATACTTCTAGTGTTAATACTAACAGTAATATTTCTCCTACTAGTACTACTAATAAAACTAATAAAACTAATAAAACTACTACTGCTACTAATAATAACAATATAAATACTAACAACAATACTACTGCTGCTACTACCACTAGCACTGCTTAATACTTATATGACTAATACTTTACAAATAATAATAGTAAAACTAATAACACCACTCATACTAACAACAATACAATTACATATACCTGGACTACTAACACTACTACTAATAATACATACCATAACAGTACTAACAACAACATTACAACTACTACTGCTACTACTTCATACTTGTAATACTTATTCTACTAATACTACTATATTAATAACACATAACAATAACATGATACTACTACTAATAATAATAACACAACAAAAATACTACTACAACTACTTATAGTACTGCCTAATACTTGTACTAATAATAATAAAAGTAATAATACTACTACTAGTAGTAATACTGCTCATGCTAACGACAACAATACTACCACTACTCCTACTTTTACTACTACTTAATACTTGTACTACTAATACTACTATTACTACTAACACCAACACCACCAATGCTAATACTACTACTAATGCTACTAATAATAATACTAATAGTAGGAAGAATAAGGATAGTACTGCTGATACCAATACTACTAATACTAACACTACTAATGCTACTCCTGCTACTACTTCTACTACTAAAAAATGAATATTAATACTTCTACCATTATTAATACTATTACTACTACTGCTAGTCTGTCTCTAAGTGTAGCCCTGTGATAGACTGGTGACCTGTCCAGGGTGTCCCCTGCCTTCACCCTAAGTCAGCTGGGATAGACTCCAGCCCCCCGCGACCCTCGTGAGGATTAAGCGGTGGATAGATAATAGATGGACTTCTACTGCTATTACTAATACTACTAACATTAAACAACTTTATTGTCTATAGCCTCTTTCAAGTCTCGGCTTACAAGATGCTTTACCAAAAAGCAGCAATAAAACATAAAAAAATATAAGATAAGATAAGATAAGCCTTTATTTATCTCCCATTGGAGAAATTCACGTTGTTGATAGCAGCATTAACACAGAGATACACATATACGAGACAGAAAAAATATATAGATTTTTTTTTGTTTTTAGTTCTCAGAAAGTGTTTGCTGCATCAAGCTAAACTGATCTAGTATCAAGTAAATATATAGTATTTATTATTTATCCTAAAAAAAATGTTCAGGAAATCAGAGATGGTCAAGAAGAAATTTGATGATTCAAGATTTTTTTTTAAAAAGAGAGAGAGAGAGGGAGAAACCCAACAATTTCCCACTGAGCAAACATATTACTTAGGATGTTGGAACAATAGTCACTGATAAAATATCATTGCACACTCAAGGCAATACATTGGGTTTTGTATAACCAGCATAAGATGTTCACCTGAGAAATCTTAAGCAGTTGAGGCATGCAGGTTTTAATTCCTCTTTTTAGGGACCACAATGACACCGCAAGTGTTTGTGATTATTTTGAGATGAATGCAGATCAGTTTCATTCCGAAGATGAATAAACAAATTGAGTTTCTTGCCTAAACAGTGATTTAATTAACGGATTCCGTAACAACATTAGTCACCGAAGTAATTGAATTAAGCAAAAATGCGAAACTGCTCCTGGTTTCAACTTCTCCCTTATGGGTATTTAGTGCTTTTTTTCCATTTTGTATAATTAGAAGTTAAATTTGGTTTTTGGTTTTACACATTTCATAGTTGAAACAATTCATTGTAAAAGTAATCAACAGATGAACCGATAATGAAATGAAAACATAATTTTAGATCCTTGGTGGGTTGTTATCAAAAGCGAAGCAGCCAAACCGCAGTTGGAACCGATGTGACGATGTCAGAGGACGACGACTGCCAGTGGAGAAACTGGCAGTGATGTGAGTGCGTGTTTATGCTGATATGCAGAGTCATGCTGCATAAAACTGTCCCAAGGGTGTTTAGATTCTGATGGACTGGATAGCACTGCAACGAGACATTAATACTATCTATTTCTCTTTCGCTTCTTCCCCCTTTTTTTCCCCATGCCATGCTTCCTTTTGTGGATATTTGATCAGTCTGTGGGTCCTGTCTTCCACTGCAGCAGCTGCCTTTTCTTTTTTTTTTCCTTCTTTCCCTCTCTCCTTATGTGAGGTTTCTTTAAAAAATGTACACCTGTGTGAGCAGCAGTCATCAGTTTGCGTTAGACTCAAGCGTGCAAGAATGAGTAAGCCCCACAGCTATAATGATCACCAGTTTTCAAGACAGATTCTGGTTTCACTTCATTCTGATTCTTCTCACTTGAATGCTTTTGAAGACTGAGGTGGGCACACAATAGACTTAAGAATGTGACGCAGACTTTTCCCCCCTATTACTAATCTCACCTTTAGGGCTTATGATTAAGGGTCACCTGGTTTGGGACTGCCAACGAATGGGGTCACACAAAATCTTTGTTGCACAGGTGCACCACCAAAACCACAACTGGGGCGTTTTTATTTATGACTCAGAGGGAGTGGGCATTTTAGTGCTGTGAGTCTAGTGCTGAAAACAAATACTTCCCTTTGGAGTTGGTAATGGGAGCAGCTACTTGAGATAAAGAGGGAAAATTACAAACCTGTGAGTGACGCCGCTCCCACATGCCCATTCAAGAGAGATTTATAAGATCCAAGCAAAAAAGTAAGACGGTACCACCATGACATCCTCAGTTTTCAGAGAACAGAGGTCGGGCCTCTGTAGTTTTGTCACCGTATCGCCTGTCAGCAGTCACTGATGATCAGTGACGTCTCTGAAATTCGATCCAGGTGGTAGTTGCTCCCCAGATAATAGCCTCTCAGTGTTTATTCAACTTTGAATCATTAATCCTGAGTGTGTCCTCTGGATGTGTCTTTGTGGTGGGGGTTGGGGCTTGTCTTTCAGGAAGAATATCAAAGCATCTGCTATCTGCCAGTACGCCTTCTCAGATGTACAGAAGGTTTTCGAAGGGCCGTACATGGAGGTGCAGGACTCTAAGTGGAGGGAGTACACAGGAAAAGTTCCAGAGCCAAGACCCGGATCGGTAAGTTTCATCTATTACTGTGGCGATAAAAAAGTAATCACTCCTCTTGGAAGTTTTCCCCTTTCAACATTGAGTCATGGACAATTTAATTTGGCATTTTGAGTAAGAATTTGAAAAAAAAAAAGATTCTTTCATGTCAGAGTGAAAATGGATTTCCACAAAGTAATTGAATTAAAAATCAGAAATGTAAAATATGTGATTGCATTAGTATTCATCTCCTTTAGTAGGTTCTCCTTTGACCGTAATTGCAGCATTGAGCCTGTGTGAATAGGTCTCAAGCAGCGCTGCCTCAATCAACCCTGCAATTTCAACCCATTCTTCACTGCAAACCTGCTCAGGCTGTGTCAGATTACTAGAGAATCATAAATGAACAGCAGTCCAGCCACAAATTCTCAGCTGGATTCAGATCTGGTCTCTGACTGGGCCACTCCAGAACATTGACCCTATTGTCTTTAAACCATTTATGTGTGGCTTTGGCTGTTTGCTTCGTCTTGCTGGAAAACAAATCTTCTCCAAAGTCACAGTTCTCTTGCAGACTGAAACAGGTTAATATCTAGGATTTCCCAATGCTTTGATGCATGTATTTTACCCTTTACCTTTACAAGCTTTCCAGGGCCTTCTGTATCCCCTTGTCATGATGCTGCCACCACCATGCTTCACAATGGGGATGGTGTGTTTGTGATGATGTGCATTGTGGTGTCACTAGACATAGCATCTAGTCTGATGGCCAAAAAGCTTAATTTTTTTCCAATCAGACCAAAGAACCTTCTTCTTGACTGTAGGCCCCCACACGCCATCCAGTAAACTCTAGTCGAGATTTAATATAAGCTTTTTCAACAGCGGCTGATGAAGAACGGGCTGCAGTTGCTGTATGCACAGTCCCTCTAATCTAAGCTGCTGAAGCTTGCAGCTCCTTCACATTAGTCATATGTGTCCTGTGGTTAAGTAGAAACTCTAAAAATCAGTTTAAAGGGATAACTTGCAAGGGGAAAATTCTTTTTTTATAGGCAGTTAGTCTAGAAATTTTACAGTCCTGCATTTAATTGAACCCTACGATAATTTCTCTGTGGTTCTCTCCAGTGTATGACAGATCATCACAGGTCCCAGGGCATCAACTCATCTCGAGACCTTCCAGACAATGTCCTCACCTTCACCAGAAGGCATCCACTGATGGCTAACCAGGTGCACCCAATGGGTGTGCGCCCCCTCATGTTCAAGAGAAGCGTCAACTATGTCAAAATCGCTGTGCACAAAGAGCCGGCACTAGATGGAAACATTTACACAGTTCTGTTTTTGGGAACTGGTGAGTTTCAGTCAGCAAATCCCACCAAAACTCAATCAATATCACTTAAATGTCTACTTAAACTAAGACTTTATTGTGGTAAAAATACAGGCGTTACATTAGGAACTCAATGCAACTAAAGTCAGCATCATCACACTCCCACCTCTGTACTTCACTGTCAGGACAATGCATTCACTGTGGTAGTCCTGGCCAGGTTCACAGCAAACATCCTGGACCCTATCTGAGCTAAATGAATTCATCTTGGTCTCCCTTGACCAAAGAATGTACTTCCAATGTTTGCCAGGTTTCTTTTCATGTCCTTTTGCAAAGTTCAATTTTGCAGTTTCATGCCGAAGAGCAAGCAAGGATAATTGTCTTGGACGTTGTCCACAGAGGTTGTCGTTATGAACTGTCCTTCACACTGACTGAACTGTCGTAGAGACCCTGATTTACAATGATAGCCCCTTTGCCAAGTCTGAAGCACCTGCCCGTCTGTTTTTCAAAGATGGATTGTATAAGTGCCCCACTGTCTGTGGCGTCAGTTTTAGAGAATGGTCACCGCGGCTATGATTAGTGGTACTATAGATTGTTCTATACCTCCTGATTACAGGTGCAGCTGTGTTTCCATAGACTTTAGATGGTCACCAATCTTCCTGTATTCTTTTCTATCTTTGTGAAGTCTCACAACCAAATCTCTTCCATGTGGAGCCATGATGGTGACACTCAGATAGACACAGGTCATGTGTATAAAACTGAGAAAGTTCTGGTGTTCACAGGTCATTTTATAACCATCTCCATGCAGTTAGGCTAATTGGAAATCACAGGTGTGCTCAGTTTTGTATCAGTGATCACAGATTTTCTAACTTGTGTGTCAGTGATCACAAGTGTATTGACCTTTGTTGCATTGTGTTTCTACTTTGGGTCTGTATGTTCACATTTAGTCTTTCTAAGCTTTATGTGTTTGATTGTTCATAAGAGAAAACGCTGTACCATTTAGCCTAAAAGTAATTCAGTTACACTAAAGTGGTTTAATATGAAATAATTTGACATTTAAGGAACATTGCATAGGGGTGTACTTGTGTCTGTTGTATATCTTTGCCATAGAGCTCCATTACTGTTCAACAGGAGGCAACAGCCGCGCTAGTGGCTCTGCGATTGTCTACTTTGGCACAGCAGCGCTTCGAGCAAGATGCTCACTTCCGCATGCTGACAATTAATGTTTATCATGTTCGCCATGTTAGTGCAGCATGACAGGGTTGCATCCTCTCTTGCAGATGACGGATGGCTGCACAGAGCTGTGGACATTGATGGAGAAATGCATATTATAGAAGAGCTGCAGATGTTCGATGACCTGCAGCCCATAGAGAGCATGGTCACATCGTCAACTCTGGTGTGTATTAATGGATCTGGAGTCAGAGTGTGCGCTAACAGAAAGATTTAAATGGTCTATTTATGTTAAGCGATGCAAATGAAAACATTCAGCCTTTGATAGAGCAAGTTCTGGTTAATCAACTTTCCACAGGGAAATAGATGTCGATAGAGAGTTTTAATTTATCAGTCCGCATGCTGAAACAATCCAATTAATATTTACATGCATAAAGTAGCTTTAACTACACGTGTACTTCAAGTGGTGAAAGTGAGACTAATCTGCAGCAAACAAGTAGATGTTTATAAATCCCTCAATAATTAATGGACAATGAACAAATATTGCAGTGCAGTCCAGTTACTACTTGTTTGTGTTTTGTGTTCCAGAGGAGCATCTATGTTGGCTCGTACTCTGGAGTTGTGCAGGTGCCAATGTCAACCTGTCAGAGGTACGCTTCCTGTTACGACTGTGTGTTCGCCAGAGACCCGTTCTGCGGCTGGGACGGGAAAGTGTGTGTGGAAATATCGTCACGTGCACAGAGGTGAGAAAAAAACACACACCCGTCCACTAACAAACGCACACATGTAGATACAAATGCACATTTCCAACAAGCAGACAGATGGACTGACGGCATTTTATGAAATACAGGAAACGAGGGTTGCAGAGATTTGGTAGAAAACAAAGCAGATTCTTGTTGAGTCAGATAAATTTGCATTGCTCTAGCATTGATCCTGAGTGTATACTTCCCTAAACCCACTCAACAATTCCACCTGTTCGTTCAGATCAATGACGTCCTTCATTTACTCCCTAAATCTGTTTTTCCTCTATTTCCAAACTGCTGTAAACAGAAAAGTTGAGCATTTTTTTAGGGAAATAAATAGTGACATTGTATAGCATCCTTTAGATGTTTGACTCAAATGCTGAGGAGACTGAAAAGGTGTCACGCCTTAAACATTTTTAATCTAACTTTTAAATAACATGGCGGATGCTGCAGGGTAACTGATGATATGATAATTAAAAACATTAACATACCGTAGTTTTTACACAGTGTACATTTTTGCATCACATGACCTTTTTGGTTGATGTTTATTTCCTCCTTCTGGGCCCACAAGCAGTACCAGAGCACAGTTAATTATTTATACAACTTCCAACAGAATTTCTATGAAAGCAGGTTTAAGACAATGTAGTCGACCTGGATTTTTCTCCTCAGCTCCGTTCAGCTCAGCAGGAGCTTCCTCTGCAACGGGAACGGTAGAATTTCAATGATTGAACACGCACACGCAACAACATCTGGATGCGATTTCAGCATTTATGTTGAGAGTAAGTCTGCATGTACAACAGAAATGCGAAGAAGGTGGAAGAAGAAAAAGTTATTTCTCTTTTAGTAACAATTATAGAGTTACAGCTTTGAATAATTTCATGAACAAATCACCGTTAGTGTAACTTTGCCATAATTAAAGGGAAGACAGAAACAGCGAATACAGTTGTAACAGATGTATTTAATATTATTACTGAAACTTGGAGACCCTTACAGAAATGCAAAGTAAGAATAAATGTATAATATTGACTTATTTAAAATCGCTTTTCTTTGAAGAAAATTCCTATTTACGTGGGTCTTTCTGGAAGACCAGGAAATTACAGGACTGTAAAATTAAGTTGTTGTTTTTTCTTCTTCTTCAGTAGTTTCCCACTTAATATGGTTGAGGAGATACTCGAAAAGTAGTAGCACCACATGGTGAAAATACCCTGTTGTAAGTGAAAGTTTTGCATTTGAAGATACAGAGAATTATTACCTGAATCTACAGGCTCAGCCTTATATTGTCTTTATTTTGTGGGGTTTGTCTTACATTGTCTTAGTTTAATGGGATATTTTCTGTTATTTGTCTTTTATTGTCATAATTTTGATGCATGTTTTGCATAAAAATTCTATGTTACAGGTAAAAGTTTTTCATTTAAAGTTGTCCATATGTAAAAGTATATATATATTATTCGCACAACATGCTTGAAGTGACTTTAATTAGTATTTTTACAGTTAAAACTAAATGGTAATAATATGACAGTGTTACACGGGTCATTGTCGTGAACATGCAGAGAATTATCACATGAATCTACAGCATGGTTTCAGAAAAAATGCCAATACCGCAGCGCTAAAATGCTCCGCTACAAGTAAAAGCTCTGCATTTAAAACTTGAGTGAAAGTATGTAGCTCCACAGAGTTTTATCAGTAACACTCAAAATATCAAAAGTAAAAGCACCCATTCTGCAGAAAAATGTTCCATGTCAGTGTTTTACTATTATTATTGATGTTTTTGGATTAATATTACTGTTACATTCATGCATATGTTCTACATGCACAGAAAAACAGCCCTGTCTTGTGGCATTTTTCAGTTAATCTAAGATGGTTTTTAAACAATTTATAGAACCTAATAGTTTTCTCAACCCATTAAACAACACTAAATCCTAGAATATTTGCCCCTGACACATGGTGGAAATCGAAGTATGAAGTTAGATAGAGTAGAAATACTAAAGTACCTGTTTTAGCACTGAACTTGTGTGAATGTACTTATTTACATTCCAACCCTGCTAGCTGGTGAAAATAGTATTAAACAGCTAAGGAGCCAGATATTTCCCTCAGGAGCTGATAGAGACCGAAACTAGAGCTAAAAGATGCGTTTCACATGTTTCTGTGCCTCCAAGTGGCCAAAAAAAATGCTTGTCCTGATATTAAAAGTACCCACTACAGAAAAATGTCCATGTCAATGTCATTTTATGATATTTTATATGGATAGATTACTGTTGCTGAAGCATTAATATAAAAGCAGCATTTTACATTCAATAGATGGTTTGGGTGGAGCTAAATCGAATACGCTGTTGCAGTTTTACCGATAGCAAAACATCAAATTTTATAAATATGTTCTCTATGTAACATCTTAATTTGTATTCTTACATAAATGTGTGTTGTATGATGTGGCATTGGATGGAACTAATCAAAGTTCAAATATATCAAAACAAATGTACCACCGCTTACTGAGATAATACCAGAATTTTGCGACATTAAATCCAGTGGAAAAACTCATCTTGCAGTGAAACCAGTCTGGATGTTGTGGTGAGTTTGCACATACATGACCTGTTGCAAACCCTCTAAAGCAAACACACACACACATGCAAACAGACACGCTGTGGCTCAGTCGTGCACTGGGGGAGTGTTTGTGCCTCTCTTCATTCACTCTGCATGAGTGAGTAGCAGACATCTTAATCTCCATTACTGCAGCAGACACATCAGCCCCTCCTGTGGATTTGTTTTGGGGGCTGCGTCACATTCGGAGAAAGCGGCAAAAAAAAAAAAAAAGAATGGATCGTAAATGGAAACTCTTATCTGGTTAATAGTGTACAATATACACCTAATTCTCCAAACAAATCATTCTGTTAGACTAATCCTTCTGTAAATGAGGGTGAGCAGTTTCCTCTGCGGTGTCGGAGATGGGGGCGGCAGGATTTTTTTCCTTATTACTATTCCACAGTGAACTGGGGAGAAATAAATGTATATATGCTGCTGCCTCTGCCTGGAACCTGCAGTAACATTGCAAATTTGGTTTCTCTGTGAAATCCAATCATTGCAGCAGAAACTTTGTGTTCTGACTTCTGGCTGCAGATTACTTTAGTCTTCATGTTTTAATCAAGTTCTTCCTTTGGGCTGTCTGAGCCGTATTTACATGCGGTTATTGGGTTGTTTTCAAATGAAATCTTGCTTACAGAAATATTATTGATTTTCTAATCACATTTTATGATTCATTTTAATTTGGTGGAACATTTCGTGTTATTTGTCTTATATTGTCCTACTAATGTGGTATATTTTTGCATCTCATTGTTTTATATTGTCTCAATTTGTGGCATATTTTGCATTATTTATGTTATACTGTCTTCATTTTATGTAATTATGTGTTGTTTATCTTATATTGTCTTAATTTTGTGGCACATTTTCTGTTATTTGTCTTATATTGTCTTCATTTTCTGACATATTTTGTCTTGTTTGTCTAATATCGTCTTAGTTTTATGGCAGTTGTCCTAATTTTCTGGCATATTTTTCATTTTTTGTGTTATAGTGTCTTCATTTTATGTCATTATGTGATGTTGTCCTAATTTTTTTGCCATATTTTGTGCTGTTCGTCTTACATTGTGCTAATGTTGTGGCATATCTTCTGTTATTCATGTTAGATTTCTTCATTTTCTGATATGTTATGTGTTATTTGTCTTGTGTTGTCTTAATTTTGTGCCATATTTTGTGCTGTTCATCTTACATTGTCCTAATTTTGTGGCTTATCTTCTGTTATTCATGTTAGATTGTCTTCATTTTCTGACATATGTGTTATTTGTCTTGTGTTGTCTTAATTTTTGCCATATTTTATGTTATTTGTTTAATATTATCTCAGTTTTGTGGCATATTTTGTGTTATTTGTCTTATATTGTCTTCATTTTCAGACATATTTTGTCTTGTTTGTCTAATATCGTCTTAGTTTTATGGCATTTGTCTTATATTGTCCTAATTTTCTGGCATATTTTTCATTTTTTGTGTTATATTGTCTTCATTTTATGTCGTTATGTGATGTTGTCCTAATTTTTTTGCCATATTTTGTGCTGTTCATCTTACATTGTGCTAATTTTGTGGCATATCTTCTGTTATCAATGTTAGATTGTCTTTATTTTCTGACATATGTTTTATTTGTCTTGTGTTGTCTTAATTTTGTGCCATATTTTATGTTATTTGTTTAATATTGTCTCAATTTTGTGCCATATTTTGTGTTATTTGTCTTACACTATCTTAATTTTAGTACACTTGTCTTATATTTTCTTAATTTAGTGACATATTGTGCATTATTTGTTTTATATTTACGTAATGACATGTTTTGTGTTCTTTGTCTTGTATTGTCTCAATTGAACAGCATATTTTGTGTTCTTTGTCTTACAGTATCTGTGATTCACTCGTTAATTCTTTGCTTTTGCAGAAAGAGCTTTTTAATGTCACTAAGAAGCTTTAATAAAGGTTAAATGCAAATTTCTCAAAAAAAATGTATGATTTCAGGTCAAACCTCACCCAGGATATCTTAAGAGGGGTCAGAGGCTGTAAGGAGAATTCAGGAAACGGTGAGTGTTACAACACACATGCACTTACTGTAAATCCATTATGCAGGGCCATGTGGCAATTTTAAGAAAAGTGTCATACTTTATTTTACTTCCAGTCCTTTCCTGTTAATTGCCTGACTCTCTCACACATGGATTATGGGGTTAAACAAGTCCAACGCTGCCTGAAAACTCAAGCATTTAGTATCTATTAAGGGATTTCATTAGGTGTATGTTCCTGACCAATCCTCCAGGTCCCAGTGTACACATTTTAATCAGTTCCTCTCTTGCTGGAGGTCATGCTGGCTGCACTGCAGGGCTCGCTGCATTTAAAGAGGCTTATGAAATGTGATGGAAAGCGATGCTGGAACTGCACAGGTTGCTCGCTTGCACTTTTAAATCGTAACCTTGGTGACCTGACATCTCTTTCTACACTCCGCTCTCTATACCGCTGCATTTGTGACATGGTTTCTCTCTCACGTTCTCGTATCGTTTGTCTTCCCCTTCCTTCGATTTCTCGTTCTGTTCCTCAGTGGTCCATCGGAGGCGTTCTGTGATGTCGGGCGACGATGTGTTGCTCCAGTGTGAACTGCGCTCCAACCTGGCGACGCCACGCTGGACGCTAAACGGCAAGGAGCTGCAGGGATACGGCCTCAACTCGGGCTACCGCATCGGCACAGACGGCCTCCTCATCATCGGAGCTCGCCCCCTACAGAGCGGCTCCTATCGCTGCTTTGCTGTGGAGAACTCCGTGTCGGTGCTGGTTTATTTGTACACAGTAAGGGTTCACACGGATCCCTACTTCCCCGTTGAGCCCACAGTCACAACTGACCCAACTACGGTGGCCAGCCCGACTGTCTTCTCCACCAGCAGCCCCACCGAGCAGCCTCTGCCTTCACCTCCCGCCCCGATGCCTCCAGAACCAGCGTTCCAGACCTACAGACACATGGAGGCCGTGTACATCTCCCTGGTGGCGGTTCTCGGAGGACTTTGCCTGGTGTTGACTGTGGTGCTGCTTTACGTGAGCTTCTGCACCAGACGGGCCTCTCAGGACCGCAAGTTCTCCCAGCAGGGTCTGCAGGTCCTGGGGGCCTCTGAGAGAAAAAGAAGCTCCCATCTGGAACTCAAAACCATTTCCAGCCACTGCAACGGCCGCCAGAGTCGTCGCTCCATCTCGGTGCCGACCTTCGGGGACATCAGCGACAGCTTCCTGCAGATAGTCCCAGGCGAGGGCCAGCTGTCTCCAGCCAAAACGCCTCCCCCGGCTCCTCCTCTTCCCATGCCGCCTCCCCTTCCCAACATGGACTACGCCAATGGGCTGTCGGCCACCTTGCCAAGCGTCCTGCGGAAAATGAACGGGAACAGCTACGTACTTCTGCGGCAGGCTGACCCCGACGGCATGTCGCCACTGTACCACTCCTTCACAGAGGAGCTCAACAGGATCCTGGAGAAGAGGAAACACACACAGCTGGACCTGCAGCCTGATGAGAGCTCCATCTAGGACGCCTTGTCTTGGTCTTTCGTCCCACAGTTATTTATTTTTACCCCAACGGTGACCCGTAGTCGTGGGGACTGTCGTAAGAAACGCTGCTGTTATTTAACCCAGTGTCAGAGTACCTGCAGGTGGTGTCCTAAACCTGATCTGAAATGTGCAGCCTCGTGTTCCTCCCATGACAAATGGCCCATGATTTCACTTTCAACACGGATGGACAACACTAACCAGAGATTCAAAAAGTGGAGCTGTGAAAAAAATTTGGCCATAGACTGCAACGGCTTAAAGAGTAGGGAGCTTAATGATGCTACCTCAGGCTTGTGAAAGATGGTCACATGACACAAAAAGGCAAAGGGGCAACAATGGACATGGGTAGTAAGAAATAAATCAGGCCAGGAGGTGAACAAGCATTTTTAAGACTGAGGAGATGTTCAAGAAGTTTTAGTTTCATGCAATATTCTCTGAAGCTTAATGTGACACTCCATCTAAAGTGTGTCTTCTGTGTGTTGTTACTAAGCATTAGGCTGCTGTGGAATAGTGGAAAACTACCTAGAACTTCACATGTTCACAACCTGAGAACTTCTCCCTGCGTGCACAGGATGCTCCTGTTTGGACTGGACTCATCAGCAACTGTACAATAAGAACTTCAATGAGGTGGAAACAACAGTTTTGACTGGCTTGATTTGAGAAGTTCTGGGGAAAAGGAAGGCTGGTAATCATTACAAATTTAATACAACAACTCGTGCTTTTGAGAGCAATCACTGGCTCATAAGGAGGCATGCCCACCTTACTAGAAGTAATAATGCCCTTCCCTAAAAATGTACTAATCCACCAAACTAAAGGACTACTCAAAGACCTGTCCAAACTGTATCTGCTTGAACAAGCTCAAATAGAAGCAGTGTATTTATCTCTATTGTCACAAAAGCATTGTGTTCGCAAAGTATTGCTCTTATGGATGGACAAGGAGAAGTGACTTATGCTGCAGAAATGCTTGTTGTTTTTCTACAGTGAAAATCCATTGCAGGGCTGTAACTAATGATTATTTTCTTAGTCGATTATTCATTGTCTGAAAGGTCGTCATAATTTCTCACATTTTCAAATCGGAAACCTGTCACTGTTCGACATTTTTGCTGCTCGATCGCTTTCACCTAATCCTTGAGACTTGAGCAGCTGTTCTCTGCTAACCCACTGAACCCCAAACAATTTCCTGGTGTTTTCTTGGCTTTAGTCACATTTTTACTCACTGTGGACTTTGTCAAAGCAATATAAAGTTCTGCACCTCAGTGGAATTCGCACAACCATGACCAGACGTATATAGAACTCAAAGGTGTCTTTTGTGCAGTGGAACAAAATTATAATGTATTAAATCTTAAAAAAATGTAAAAAATGAGAATTACATTTTTTTTTATTACTAATTTTACAAAAATTGAATAAAATAAAATCAATCTAGTGGCTCATCAGTGGCTCTACATACTATGGATATTTTACAATTACATTTTAAATTTGCTTCTGTATTTGCTTCTTATCTACTCTGTGTAAACACTGCCTGCAGTTCAGCTTAGTTCATCTGAAAACTCCCTGAATTTTTGCCATGTTGCTGTTGGTTTCAGCTGAGTCGCAATTAGCTCCACGTTTGCGCTGAGGAGTGCAGAATATTTTGTTTTTTACAGAATTTGGTTAGAGCAAGCAGGTTATTTTTTATATGAAATATAATCAGACATGTCAAAGTGATTTTGGTGAATCTCACTTTTTTGGGCTTAGATTTGGATAATATTCCAAACAGAATGTCACTTCCGGAAAGCAGAAAATGCCACGATTTGTTCTGTTTTTACAGTTTCTGGCTCTGATAAATGCTGTAATTTCAGACAACGTGGGGTTCAGAGGGTAAGCAGGCAGCTGTGATCGTTGCAACGGCCAAAAATATAGGCTTTGGTTGGAGTGTCACTTTAGGAATCCAGTCTCGATACAGTGCATGAGAGCACAGGTGTTCAGACAAACCATACATTTCAACATATTTATTTCAACCACGCTTTCTTCATTTCCCTTCATGTAAATAGCAATAATCGCGTCCCTGTCGCAGCTGTTAGTAGCAACGTGTTGTGCCGGCGCCAATGAATACACCTGTAGCAAACCGTGAAATATCCCCTTTGTTTTATCCTGAAATCTTTCTGTTTTTAGCGTCTGTGTGAGAAAAGAGATAAAGCTGTCTGAGAGGAAACGTGTGCAGTTTACTAAAGGAGAAGTCAGTGTGCGGTCAGGTTGATTGATTTCACTGAAGACTATAGACTGGAAAACACAGCACACACTAAGAGCAAGAGACGCAGGAGAAAAATGCTTAAACCTGATGTTTTATATTTAGACACCTACATACTCGCCTTTTTTTTCGACTGAAGGTCTATTTTTGGACATGTATTACACGTTGAAGACTTTGCATTCTCTGAAGACATCATAGCTTCAAGAAAACACTTACAAAGGAAAATTTGATCTCTTAAAACAACACTAATGACAGACACCGGTTTGTCCTCTGCTGTGAAAAAGCCTCTGGTGGCAAGTGGCCAAACCACAGAGGTAAAGACCTTCACACATGCAGCCCACGAAAGCAACCTCAGTGTTTGCCTGACATGAGTGCAATGCCAAAACAACGAGATCTGCAGAGCTTACAGTATTTCATCAGCAAGGTGAACAGCGCTATGATTGAGTAGCGCATGTATAACTTAGTGGGAACTGACTGAAATGAATCTCGGAGTAGTTTGCAAACGTGTCACGAGCCGTGGTAAATAAAGATCTGTCTTTGCAGTAAAGTGATGAATCAGCTCCTGTAGCTCGCAGCAGCAGCAGCAGCAGCAGCAGCAGCAGCTCTCTCGTGACTTGCAGCGTGCATCTGTCAGAGCGTCGCTGACAGTAACAGCAGCGTTTGGCTCACCTCCACCGAGAGAGGACAGCAGCTTCTTGTCTGTTTGCATGAGGTGCTGTCCTCTCTGCAGGTAGAAGCCGATACAGAACATTTGACCTGTGTGTCCTGGTTAGCCATGCAGGAAACAAACGGTGATACAAGCAGACAGGAGATAGTTTGCACTTGCAGGGTTTCAGTCGTCTTCTTGTCTGAGGCACCTTGAATGGTCTGTTACTGAGGATGTTGGTCTGTTACTGAGGATGTAGTCCAGGCTGTGCACGCTTTGCAGACTGTAACTGTCCTTTTCCACATAGAAGAAATGCTGTCTGGTTACTGGCCTGTATAGTATGATTCAATCAGTGCGTGCTGGCTTATGAAATTCTTGGTTTTGAACTTTGCACTGCAATTTTTTTTTGTCACTTTATGTGCATATATCATGAACATTGGTGTGGAGAAACTCTCCATAATCTTTTTGCAATTCATAGCTACTGTTTAGAACAGCAGTTATTTGAGCCACTCCGACCTGGTGATGAGCACCTTCTGATATGGTCGACCCACATTTAATTGCTTTGGTTTTGAGTAGGAATGTTGGACTTTTGCATATATTTTCCAACAAATTTTGGCCAACACATGCACATATTTTCCCCACATAACTGCAGAGAATATCACATTTCTCCTACAGTGATATATATTAATATGCTATTTTGGCTACTCTTGTGATGTAAACAAAATACAATGCTTTTCATATATACACATCAACTTGGCGAAATAGGAAAACTACTTCAACTTACATGTAAAACATGCCGTTTGTATTTTTTGTAGCATTTTCAAACAAAAGTTTTAACTGCCGTTATCTGCCTGTCAAGGTTTTTTTGGGGCCAATGCTGAAATTCATCGCTAGTTTTAAGCCTACTGGAATTTTTAACTACTGTTTTTTTTTTAAGTCAATTAAAGGGTTGTTTTTTTATAGGATACATCATGAGTGAGATCATCAATCACAGCTTTTTCATATCTGCTTTAAAACGACATTGTACAAGTGAAAGTCGCAAAAACCCTGATTCAGACAGTCCAGGTTTCATTCATAACAAACCTTAGGAACCAATTGCTGTTAACTTGCAGCGTGGGGCTTTTTGTATCAAGCTGCTTCTTCAGTAACTCAAACATATTGCTGCTAAAGGAAGCAACAGCGTAGAGATAAATATAAGGTATTTTAAGAAATGAAGTGAATATTTTAATAGAAAAAAATTCTAAGTGTGTAATTTGAATACACAGAAGAATTTATAAGTGTGACCATGGTGATGAATGACAGAAAAGGGGCTTTGCTTTGATAAAAGTCCTATTTTCTTGCATTATGGGTCTGTGCACTGCAATAAAAATTTGTCTGAATAGTTTCCATTTGGTCGTGGCAAAAGCCAGGGATGCCTGCTTTCACTTTTGGCGTTTGTTCTTACAGTGAAATCCAAAAATGGGCATTACCGAAACTGTGGATTTCCACTGTATGCAGACGACTCACTTTTCTACATTTCAAACCCCACTAAGTAAATAGCAAATGTTTTGGACACCTGTCATGCTTTGGAGGAAATGTGTGGTGAAAAACTGGATTTGGGAAAGAACTGAACTTCTTTCTAGCTGCATTTAATGTCTATTGAGGTTTGACTTTGTTCTAACCAGAGAACAGATCACTATATAACTTAACATACTGGATTTTTCAGCTTCTCCTCAGCCTTTTTAGCCATTTCACTTGTTTCAATCGCCGCCTTCATTCCCTCCCTCTCTGCCTCTTTTCCACCTCCCTCGTTTCCCCGTCTCATCACCTCTACATGACACTATCATCTATTACTCTCTCCGCTCACATTCACACTCTTCTTTCAAGGACCCTGCTGAGTATACAAATGGCCCCTAATCAGAGACAGTTTTCAAAGTGCTCTCAAGTTTGTACTTTTGCAAATGCAGGGATTGGAGTGCCAATGAGACTTTGTGCAGCTGTTTAAGATAAATCGTGTTTTTTTGTTTTGTTTTGTTTTTTTTAGATCTCTAGCTGATGTTTTTATTGCACAAATTCCCCATAAGAGTCAAATAATTAACTTTATCTTTAAATTTTTAATGTATTCACAATGCTAAGAGGCTCGCTAATCAAAAAGAGTATCAATTTTAATCAATGCTAATTTATAAGTGGAGCATTTTATTTAAATTAAAGTGTTTTTGTTGGGCTACATTTCATTGCAAGTTTGACATTTGTGAAATGATTGCAGTTTCTACTGAGTTCAACATGTTACTGTACTTAAACTTGTATTATGTAAAACTTCCCATAATCAAGTTGTGGAGAATCTTCGAGTTATGGGAAGCTTCATTTGAATATTTGGCCATCGCTGCTGCTGCTGTTGCTGCTTTATTCTCACTCAAGGACTATGTGTTTACAATAGACACTGTATACTGTACAATGGACTTCAGATGAAATATGCTCATTCATATGCACACTGTACACAAACACACAGCGAAGCACTTGTTTTTGCGAATTCTCTTACGGTAATTACATCCTGCTGTATCAATACGCAGTTATATTTTACATTTTATGTAGATGTTCATGAATCCTTCTTGTGTTTGCCAAAGAAACTGGTGTAAAGATTTGCACTGTTCTTTCTTGAGTCATGTCGTAGTAACTTGTGGCACTTTTCCATCAACTTTGTTCTGTATTATTTTTGATGTAGATAATGATCTTATCTATGTGGTCTCCTCAGAATATAACTGACTGATCCCTGCTTCTTGTAAGATAGTTAAACCACCTGAGCTGTTTAAAGAGAATGGACTTTTTTTTTCTTTTCTTTTTTTTTTTTTAAGTCTCATGTCTTATTTATTCCAGTTCATTAAATTTCCACTGGTGTTTGTGCAGATAAAAAACAATTTGCATTATGTTCTACTTGAGAAAGAAA